GCCCTCCGGTGTGACAAAATGGCCCAAGTATTCCAGCTCTGCCGGACAAATTCGCACTTGTCGCGGTTGGCCTTGTACTTGGCGCGGCGGAGCGTCTTCAACACTCGTCGAAGATATCCAAGATGATCCTCCAATGTCCGGCTATAGACGAGAATATCGTCCAAGTAGACCAGCATGATCCGGTCCAACATTGCACGAAACTCGTTGGTCATTGCCGCGTGAAAGGTCGTCGGGGCGCTGGTGAGGCGAAAAGTCATGATGACCACCCACTCAAAATGCCCGTACCGCGTCTTGAACGTGGATTTGTAGCGATTGTTCGGCCGGATCGATATTTGATGATATCCCGACTTCAAATCCAACTTAGAAAAATACTTCACGCCGCCCAATCGCTAAAGAAGATCGCTGATGTGAGGAAGAGGCCCCGCATTCTTGACGGTTTGCGCGTTGAGCTTGCGGTAGTCGATCCGCAATCGTAGATCCTTGTTCTTCTTCCAGACGAAGAGAACTGGTGCTCCGTATGGGGAGCTACTAGGGTGGATCCAGCCCTTGGCCAGCAAGTCGTCGAGTTGTGAGCGGAGGACCTCAAGATCCTCCTCGCTCATCCGATAGATGCAACCTTTCGGCGGCACGGCACCCGCCTCAAGAATGATCTCGGCGAAATCGTCCAGCAACCGCACCACCCGGAGGTCCGAAGACAAGTCCGTAAGTGAAGAGTCGGCTACCGCGACGGTCCGTAAGAAACATAGGCCGATTTCCTCAGGTTGCTCGTAACCGCAAGTCGCCCGGAATGATTTAGCCGTCACCACTTAGCACCGGATTGAAGGGTGCGGAAGAGGAATAGTACACGATAATTCGGCGCCGAAAGCGTCCCGAACGGTAAGAGTCCGCCGATGGAAGTTGACCGTGTGATCCGCACTTGCAAGCCAAGGCATTCTCAATATAATGTTGAAGTTCGTGTCCAAAATGTCGAAGGTCACCGGTTCGCATGCATGAGGTGCGAAATACACCGGTACGGCCTCGATGTAACGGTCGAGAAATTGCTGCTTCTTTCCATCCGCCAACTTGATCGCCGTCGGGTTTGCCTTCCTTCGAACTTGTGCGCCAAGGCCAGCCCTTTGCATAAAGGCTTGGCTCATGAAATTGCGAGACGCGCTGCTATCCAGCAAAGCGCTGCAGGACACTTGCCCAACCTGGATGCGAACATACATGAGTTGTGCGTTGTTGTCATCGTACCGCTGCGTGCGAAACTCGCGGGCCACCTTGGTACCATACGCAAGGATGTCCCCCACCGCGACTTCGTCATCCGTCGGCGAAGTTGGTGGTGCATAGAAGGATAAGTACGTGTGGAGATAAGCGCATAGTGTTGCGCATTGCGGTCCCGGCAAGCGGCCCGTGGTCCCGTGAAGAGCCACTTGAAGACGATGAGTTGCCGCTGCCGGACGGAGAAGATGCCGCACACACGTCTTGTCCTTGAGCTCGAGTACCCAGCGTAGGAACAAGCCGGGCAGCATAGTCCTCAAAAGACTAAAAAAGAGGACTATCGACTTCCTCATGCGCCTCGGAACGAAGGGCGGTCACCCGCGAAGTGACCGGTTCCGAAAGTCGTCGAGTCACTCCCGACGGTACTCAGTTTCCTTATTTGCCCTTGCCTTTCGACGGGCAGGCCACTATCTCATGGAGATCACTGTTGCACCATAGGCAATAGTGAAATCTCGTGAGTGCTTTGAATGCTTGCTCGGAGAGACCATATTGGGACCATGGGGCTGGAGCTGACACGGCCTCGCTAGTTTGGTCAAACAACGTTGTCGCCGTGACCACGGCCACTTTCGGCCGATGCTGATCTCTGCTCGGGCCTGCCGCAGACGAACGCAGATTCTTAGCCTCCTTGTTTGTAATAATAATCTGCGCGGCCTTGTCAAAGAGTTCCGTTGTAGTCGTCAAGGTGTCCTCGACGTGAGTCAAGGCATTGCTCAATGCCAGACACAACCTTGAGATAAAATAGTGGCGGATGGCTTTGAAGCCCATTTGGATGTCTAGGACGGATGTCAAGCGTTGGTACTCGGCAATCCAGTCGACACTCGACAGCGTGCCTTGTTCGAAGACCATTAGCTTGTCCATTGCCTTGATCTCCGGCGGCTCTACTTAGAACCGTTTATGCCACGCCGCCTTCAAATGATCCCCGCTGATCTTGGTATGCAAGCCGGCAGCTGCCACTCCGTACTTGGCACGCGCCTCCCGACCGGGAGTATAAGTACGCGTGATGCTTGTGTTCTTTGACGTAGTGTAGCTGCAGCGTGAGCTCGAACTTGAGGAACCATGGAATCGGATCTGTCTTCGTCGAGTCGCAGAAGATCTCCTGCCCGTCGAACTTTGGAGCTGTCTCGTGCGGTTCCGAACTTGAGTGGTTGGTGGCAGTGCAGATCCACTGTTCCAACTGTTGCGTTGCGGTTTGCTGTAACTGCACGCCGTCCTTGAGGGAGCCGACGTCAATCTCCAATCCTTCGAGGCGATCGGAGGAGTTGGAAGAGCTGGCATCGGGGGCGACGAATGTAACGAGCGCGAGGCTGAGGGAGATAGGGAGAGCCGAGGGAGAGGAGAGGGAGAGAGAGAGAGTGAGAGCACACACACACACTCACTCACTCGACACGACTGAGGGTCGGACGCAGACACAGTGGCAAGGACACAAAGTCAAAGTCTTGGATTTCGAATGCCGAACAGGAGCAAGTCCCACGTAGTACAAGTACAGCAGCGGAAAACTGGTACCAGACTGGTCCCCGTACCGTACAGGGAGCCGGTATAAGTACCGGTGACACGGACAGTACCAGGGGCATTTCTGCAAAGACCCCGAGGCCAGAACTGAAAAATGCAGTGTTTGAAAGTGGCGCCCGAATTGCAGCATGGCGCCAGTTGTCCAAAATCCTACGGTACCAAAGGAGGGGTTTGGAAAAAGGGTGCCGGCCAAAAACGAGATGCAGCCGAAATGGCAAAAAGATAGACCAGGGATCGAGCCCTGGCGGAGTCCGTAACACTATCCCCTCCCTCTAGAAGGCAACGTCCAGGCTGCCAAAAATCATGAAGCAATGCTGAAATCTGTGAAGGACGGGACGGGGCCGATCATTGGTTAACAAGTCGAAAGGGAAGAGGGGTATAATGTGGGTGGCATGGGCTGCGTGAGTAAGAGGGAACATGGGACTTCTATTGAAGTTCTACTGGGTAAGGGAAACAATGGTCAGGCGAACAGGGGATGTCTATCAATGTTCTAATGGGTACGGGAAACAATGGTTAGGGAAACAGGGATCTGCTAATGATGAACTAGGGGTGCTGCAGGGGGAACAGGGTAGTCCTATAGATGGTTGACAAGGGTGAAGAGGTAACAGGGTTTCCTATTGATGATCTACAAGGGAGAGCAGGTAACAGGGTTTCCTATGGATGTTCTACAAGGGTGAACGGGTATTTCAGTGAAAATTCTACAGGGTTATAGGTTGTCAGGGGACAAAAAAAATAATAATAATAAATAATTTTTTTTTGTTGCAAGGTTCAACGGCACAGTTTGCATGTACAAGGGCTGGGATGTTTGATGGGATGTGGGTACAAAGTCAGAGGTCTGCAATGGGTCACGGGGTCTGGGGGAGGTCTTCAAGTGTCTTGATCGGCAACAAGAAGGGGTCTTCGGAAGTCTTGAGCAGTCTCAGGTCAGCGGCAGCAATAGGGGTCTTGAAGGAGGTCTTGGTCAGGTCGATGATGGAAGCAAGGCAAACTGCAAAGGTCTTGGTCAGCGGCAAAGGGGGGTCTTCAATGGTCTTCAGCAAGGAGAGACAAGATGCTGAGTGTTGATGCGTGGAAAGTCAAGAGGTCCATGTTTGATGGCTGTGGGCACGTCCGGCACATGATCTGCAGTGGAGTCTGATCCGGGAGCAAGGAAGTCACAGACTGGTACATGGTTTATGTCACAAGTAGCTGCTCCAGGAAGTCTGCGAGGCAGGGTGCCGCCCAGGTGTAGCAGCATGGTGGCCAATCCAGCTGCATAATCTCCATGAACAGTGGTGCAGCAAGCCATCGTCCTCATGCGCATGCCATTAGATCCTTTATCGCCAGCGTCACGCAGGTCCACAAGCATTGGACAAGATGGACAAGGAAGTGGGGAGGGCGAATGGGGCAGGGCTAGGCAAGGGACAAGGGCAGATCAGACATCAGGAATCGGGGTTAAGGGCAAGGGTGGCTGTGGCAGGGGTGTGTGTAGAACAAGGTGGCGAGGTTGTAGCAGGGTTTAAGCAAGGGTTCAGGGTTTTAGCAAAGGTATAGGCAGGGGGATAGCTAGGATGCAGGGTGGGAACGATCATAGGCACGGACAAGTCTCATGGCATTCTTGAGATTTTCAAGGGGTTCCCATGTTGATTCTTCATCCGGGTAGCCTGTCCACTTGACTTTGTATTCTTGGATTGGTTCAGGGTGATCAGCGACGTGGGTTGTTCTACGGCCAATGATGGATTCATTGGAGAATTCAGGTCCAGTGGGGAGCATGATAGGAGGGGGACGAGGGTGAGGGCGATCAGAGAACTGTGGCGGGGATTCATGGTATTCTTTGAGGTATTCGACATGGAAGACAGGGTGGACACGGCTCATGTCAGGGGGAAGCTGGAGTTTGTAATTGACGGGGGAGGTTTGTTCAATGATGGGGAAGGGACCGAGCCACTTGTTTGAGAGTTTCTTGGACAAGCCCTGTTCGGGTTCAAAGCGTTTAGCGGAGAGCCAGACCTTGTCCCCTACTTGGAAGGTGATATCATGGCGATGCTTGTTAGCTTGTTTAGCTTGTTGTTCCTGGGTGTGTTGGATTGACTCGGTTGCTTCTCTTAGGAGACGGCTCATTGTTGCAACCCATTCATTGAGAGAGGGGCAGGGGGAGGATGGGTTGAGTTGAGAGGGGAGCAAGAAATCAGAAGGCAAGCGGGGGTGATAGCCAAGGTCAAGGTAAAAGAGGGACATGCCGGTGGAAGGGCAAACGACATTGTTGTAGGCAATCTCGGCGGCGGTGAGCAACTGATCCCAATCATGCTGGTGGGGATGACAATACTTCCGCAGGATTCTTTGGAGAGTATCATTTATCTTCTCGGTTTGTCCGTCGGTCTGTGGGTGGAATGCAGTGATGTACCTGAGCGTGGTTCCGTAGGCATGGAAGAGTTGTTTCCAGAATTGGGAGAGGAAGCGGGGGTCGCGATCACTGATGATATTCTCGGGGAGGCCGTGGTGTCGGGCGACATGGTGGAAGAAGAGAATGGCAATGTCTTTGGCATTGTGCGAGGTGGTACAAGGAATGAAATGAGCACGTTTGGTCAGGCGGCAAACAATGACGTAGATGCAATCATGCCCGCGGTCGGTCTTGGGAAGACCGCACACGAAGTCCATGGAAACGGACTGCCATCGGTGCGTGGGGATGGGCAATGATTGGAGCTTACCGGGTTTGGCCTGGTTCGAGGGGTTGACAGCCTGACATGTGGGGCACGAGCGGATGTAGGCTTTGACGTCGGCAAGGATAGTAGGCCGATCGAAATATCGGGAGATGGTGTCAAAGGTTTTCTAGAAACCAAGGTGGCCAGCAGTCTTGGCGTCGTGGTGCTCAGCCAAGAGTTGGGTGCGGAGGCCACAGGCGTCAGGGATGCAGATTCGGCGTATGCCTTTGGTCTCGATGTAAAGGAGGTTGTCATGTAGGGAGTAGTCGGGGACGGGGTCGAGGTCGCGAAGTTTGTTGTAGATGGTGGAGAAGTCGGGGCAATAGAGGTATCCTTGGGTGTAGCGATGGCGGAGCGATGGCAGGAGCTGGATGTGGGTCATGGCGGCATAGACTTTCTCGGGGGGGTTGTGGTCGGGGGGGGCGAGAGAGGGCATCGGCAACGCGGTTGCTCTTGCCAGGGGTGTGACAAATGGTAAAGGTAAATTGGGCAAGGAAGTCTAGCCAGTGGGCTTGACGAGGGGTGATGTCTTTCTTGGTCAAGATGGAGGAGACGACGGTGTTGTCGGTACGGATGGTGAAATATTGCCCGTCGAGGTACGGGCGCGAGACTTTGAGGGCGTAGACCACGACGAGGAGCTCCTCGTTGGATGGGTAGTTCATTTCTGCAGGAAGGAGTTTCTTGCTGGCGAATGCGATGGGGTGCTCGCCGGGTGGGCATTGGGAGTGAGTGGGGGAGTCCTTGATGGAGGGGGTTTCCGCAGGGTCGGGGGGAAAGTGCTGGGATAAGACGGCCCCGATGGCAAAGTCGGACGCATCCGTGGTGAGGAAGAAGTGGCGAGTGGGGTCGGCGATTTTGAGGACAGGGGCAGTGGTGATGAGCTCCTTGAGTTTGTCGAAGGCGGCTTGGCTGCGGTCTGTCCAAGCGAAGGGTTCGGTGGCACGGGTGAGCTCATGGAGAGGGTAGGAAACGTCGAAAAGTTGCGAATGAAGGGGCGGTAGTAGTTGGCGAGTCCCGTGAAGGAGCGAAGTTGGGTTAAAGTGGTGGGAAGGGGAAACTCGACGAGGGCAGAGACCTTTTTAGGGTCCATGCGGATGCCGTCGGTGGAGACAATGTGACCAAGGTATTCTACGCTAGAGGCAACAAATGTGCATTTGCTGAGCTTGGCGTAGAATTTCTGGTCGCGGAGGATGGCGAGAACTTGGCGGAGATGATCAAGGTGGGACTCCAAGGTGGGGCTAAAAACAAGGATGTCGTCAAGGTAGATCACGACACAGACTTCGAGGAGGTCGCGGAAGATGTGATTCATGGTGGATTGGAATGTGGCGGGGGCGTTGGTGAGACCGAAAGGCATTACGAGAAACTCGTAGTGCCCGAAGCGGGAGCGGAAGGCGGTTTTGTGGGTGTCCTCCTCGCGGATGCTGATCTGGTGGAAGCCACTGCGGAGGTCGATATTGGTGAAGTATTTGGCTCCACGGAGGGGATCAAGAAGTTCGGATATCCGGGGAAGCGGATACTTGTTCTTGATCGTGATCCGGTTCAAGGCGTGTTAGTCCGTGCACATGCGGAGTTCGGAGGTGCCGTTCTCTTCTTGACGAAGAGACAGCTGGTACCGAAGGGGGAGGAACTAGGCTTAATAAATCCTTTTTCAAGGAGTTCATTGAGCTGGCGTTTCATTTCTTCGGCCTCGGGAACGGAAAGCTGGTATGGGGGCGGCAAGGGGCGGTGTGGCCGGGCTCGAGATCGATGGTGTGGGAAACACCTCGGTCGGGAGGTAGTCCGGTGGGCAAGGATTCAGGAAACATGTCTTTGAATTCGAATAGGAGGGCGGAGATCTGAGGGTCGGAGGAGGGGTCTTTGTCGGGTTTGTCCGTTGGAAGCAAGTCCTCGGGACGGTCGCGGTCAATGACAAGGCAATGGTAGGCGGAGTCGGGGTGCTCACGGATCATGTCAAGAAATTGGTGAGGAGAGACGAGGGAAGGGGTGGAGGGAGGGAGAAGGTAGGGGATGTCAAGGGGTGGATCGAGAGGGAGATGGTGGCCGAGTCCTTATCCCCTAGGCGGATGGTGATCAAGGAATCATAGCCGGTGGAAGAGAGGCCGGCTTTGCGGACACGGGCATCCGTGATGTAATTGCTGGTGGCACCAATGTCGAGAAGGGCCCGGAACTTCACCGTCGATGCTCCAAAGGAGACGGCGACGAACTTGAGCTGGAACTGGGCGGTCCCGGCACAAGCGGAGGAGATCATGGCGTTGAGGCGGCGCTGCTTGAGGCCTAATCTAACAAGCCGAGTGTGTCGGTCTTGTTCCTCAACGAGATCAGAGAAAGTGATGGAGGGGTTGGGGAGGAGGGTAGTGGAACATGTGGCCGTGGGGTGCTCAGCTGACGGAATAGAGGACGTCGTCGGGAGGAGGGCAGGCGGAGTAGCCTGCGACGCCTGGGGGGTGTCCGGTGTGAAAGTCGTCGCCGGTAGACGAATTGTTGATGCCAGGACATGGCTACAAGGGGCGGGGGGACAGTGTTCAAGTGGAGGAGGGCCCAGAGGCCGCGGTGGAGGAGGAGGAAGTGGATGTGGGAGGGCTGGATCCGGTGGGGCGGGAAGCCTGGTGGGTGGAGCGGCCGGCCTTGGGGCAATTGGTTTGTTGATGCCCCAGTTGGCGGCAACGGAAGGAACCGCCGTTGGCCTGGAGGAAGGCACGTTCGGCGGAGGTGAGCTTTTGGAGACGAGGGGGTTGGGGGGAGGAGGGAGGCTGGGACGCCAGGCGTTGTCGTTCCATCCTCATCAGCTGGACAGCCTGGAAGTCTTCCTCGGTGAATTGGGCTGGGTCAAGGGACTCGGGAGAGGAATCAAAGTCGTCGTCAGAGGCGAGTGACGAGTCGTCGGAGGCCATGTTGTGGAAAAACCGGGTGTGGTTGGGGGCGGCTGGTCGATGAGAGCAGAGGTGAGGAAGGCGATCATGGTGGAGAAGGCGGGTAAGGAGATCGGTGAGAGGGAGCTCGGGCTTATGGGCACGGGCTGCGGCGAGGTGGTGGAAGCATACCCGCTTGATGCGGGAGATGAAGACGTAGTCAGGAATGAGAGTCGACGGGATGTGGAGGCGGAGGTTGCAAAATTGATCGATGCAGTCATCGATGGTCTTTTGCGGACGGAAGGTGGCGATGAGAAGGTCGGCCCATTGAAGGAAGGTGATGCGGGGAAGGCCGTTGGCTCGACGGTTTGGCTTCGGTTAACCACCATTGAGCGGCGGTGCCTTGGAGGCGTAAGGTTGCGGTGGGGAGCCAATGAGCGAGGGGCATGTTGTGGAGATCGAAGGCATTTTGAATTTGAGAGAGGAAAAGGAGGACGTCCTCGTGGGGGAGGCCGGAGAACGTCGCGATATCGGTGGCGCGGAAGGAGCGGGGAATGTCCCCGTTGCGGGGGACGATGCAAGCGAGGTTGTTGAAGTTGCGGTCGTCAGGAGAGGTGTCGTAGCAGGTGTGATCCTAACTGCGGTCACCAAGGAGGTAGCAAGGGGGAGGTTGGGGTATGGCGGGGTAAACGCCCGAAAGGACTTGGGAGTAAGAGGGGTGGACAGAGGGGATGGTGGAAGTAGTTAGGAGAGGTTGGTTGAGGGGGGAGGAAAGGCGAAGGGGAGTGGTTTGTGTAGTGGTGGAAGCGCTTGTAGTAGGTTGTGAGGAGGGGAGGGAAACGGGAAGGGAAGTGACGGGGGTGGAAGAAGGTGTGGTGGAGGACGGTGGGGGAGTGGTGTTGGAGGATGAGGCCTGGCCGGCTTGGCTGGCGGAGAGGCTTTGGCCAGATTGGCCGGAGGAGGGGGGTTGGCTATTTTGGCCGGAAGAAGATGGTTGGCCGGTTTGGCCGGCAGGGGTAGATTGGATGGATTGGCCGGTGGAGGAGGGGGGTGATGACGTCGTGGCGACGGTCGTGGCGGGTGTGTGGTTTTCAAGGGAGGTGACGCGATCGGATTTGGAGGTCATGGAGGCCTCGATTCTGCGGAGCGAGGCAGAGAGTGCTTGAAACATGGAGAGGAGAGATGTGTTCTCCCCAGTGCCTGGCTGGTTGACAAGCTCGCGGTGGATATCCTCGACGGAATCCATACGGAGCGAGCCCATGTTGATGCTTGAGGTGCCTTCGACCAAGGAGGGACGAAGGTGGGGCAGAGGGAGAAGATGGAGTGGAAGGGACAACGGAGGTGACATCAGCGGCGGAGGTGGCAGCAGCGGCGGCGTCGGCGGCGCGTTGGGAGGTCTTGGATTGGCAGGGTGGCATGTGGGAGTGGTTTCTAATCCCAATTTAGAAAAATGATGGTTGATTTAAATCGGGGTTAGAGGAAGTTGTCATGAGAGGGGAGGGGGGGGGGATGAAAATTTGGGGGCAAAGTTTTGGGGAAGAAAATTAAAATCAGAACGTAAATTTCAAATGGAATAAAATTTTACGAAGAAAAATTGCAAAAAATTAGGGGTAAAGGAAAAGGGAAAAATCAAATTTTCAAGATAATGAAATTCGAATTTATTCAATTAATTTTCAGAAAGCGAAAAACTCTTGGAAAGAAATTCTAAATGATAATAAAAAAAATTCGGGCTATTTTACGTAACAAAATGCGGAAAAATTAAATTGGAATAAGTAAAAAATTCAAAAAAAAATTGCTCTATATTGGGGATTTATTTTGATTTTTTTTTTTAACGAATTTAAATGATAATTATGAAAATAATTTAAATCAAGATTTCCGAATTACTTTGAAAAAAGAAAAGAAATGTTGGAAAAAAAAAAGGTTCAATTCGAGAAAAATAAAACAAAATTTGGAAAAGAAATCCGAGAATTTTCAAAACGAAAAGAAAATTGAATTCGGATTTAAAAGTTGATTTGGTTCTTTTTCGGAAATTATTTATTTAAATAATTAAAATGTTTGCAAGAAAAACTTTTTGGAAGGGTAATAGGAATTTCAGAAACGGAATGCAATTTTCGAGTGGACTAAATAAATTTTTAGGGTATTTCCGAAGAAATATGCACAGTATTCGAAAAAAAATTTCGAGATTCAAAAGTATTTCAAAATTTTAGAAAAAGGGGCTAGAGTATAACTAAATTGATTAATTACAAAAATAATTTTCGAAAGATAATTGACGAGGAAAAGGAAGTAATAGTTGCTAACTATGAAAAAGAAAACTAATTGCTAAAGAAAAACTTTCGAAAAAGAATTAATGAACTAAAAAAAAGAAAATCGGGCAAGTTCTATGATGTTTGCTATGAGGCGTTCAATGCTTTGTAAGCCTTGTCCTATTGTGCCACGTGTCGGGGGGGGGGGGGGGGGGGGGGGG